TGCTTTTTGTGATCACGGCATAAACAAATACAAGCTAGAAATATAAAAATACCTCAATAAAACTTACAATAGTGTGTTCTATCCTAAATATGCAATAAATATTCCATATTGCTAGAAACAGCAGAATAATTTAGGAAATTTGAGGCCCTAGGGGCAAAAAACAGACAAAAATGCCTACCCCCTGGTTCATAAAACAAATAATTTAACTTGTAAATGATATGACTTTATTATTTCAAAGGTCTTTTGTATAGAAACCAATAACTGTACTTGGAAGTTATGCAAAATCAGATGTTAGCAGTCATTTCTTTAAAACTTTTAGTGAATTCATACATCAGACTGGTATCTTCATACATACAACTTTTGCAAATATGGCTTTGTTTAAACCTTTCTAGTTCATATATTAGCTAAATTATGTTAGATATATGGTAAGAGATGATACTGTTGTGACAAAATTTCTTAACTGACCATTTGAGGCAGTAATTGTGAACTTTTATTGACAAATAGGCATACAGTAAGATGTGGACTAGAGACAGAGGCAGGATTGGACACTTTATATAATCTTGAATGTTGGAATGATTAGCTGCTAAACATTACATTTATAGTGTTCTGAAATGCTTTCAATTTGTTATCAAAATAGTTTCAAACATGTTCTAGACATTTCATTCAGAATACATGCTCATAGGGTAAGCTGGCAATAATTAAAGTTTTGTTTTTAAATTCTGTAAAAAATTGATACAGGGGTGAGGGTATAAAATGTACTGTAAAAGAAAACTTAGAGTATATGCAGTGGTTTCTTTCAGGCTATAATTCTGAGATATAAGTATTGTTGTGAGAAAAAGTGTTTTTAGAAAGTTTTCTATTAGAATAAATGTTAGTGTAAGTCCTCAGATTTGTTGTGACGAATTTGATCATTGATATTGAAACTTTTAAATTTGTGATGTCGGATTCATTAATAGTTTGTATAGGTCCTAAATGGGCTTCCGGTATTGACGGTATCGTTTTAGTATTATTAAATTTAAAATTTGTATCAATTCATGCATCTAAGCCTGTCTATTTTATGTTATAACGGAATTGAACCTTTTTCTAACTATGTGTATACAGTATTTAAAGGTATGATTTGAACAGTTTGCTCAGAATATATAACACCCCAAGGGTGACTGGGAATTAGAAATATGGTCACCATTGGTCTTCTTCCGACTGGCAGTAAAAACCCTTGTCTAAGTGGGGCGTCCGTTTGGCTGTGAGGGATGCACAAGTACGCAGTCACGTCCGGTCAGAATGGGGACGTTAATTGGGTAATGACTAAAGTTAAGTTACAAGATAAATTTTTCAGACTTATTCGGATGAAAGTATTATCCAAAAATATTGCAATGTTTTATCGTTATATCTGTGCATTGTGTCGTATTTTTATACGCCTTGCAAACAAATTTGAGGGTATAAAGGAATCAATCGGTCCACAGGACTGTCCGTTTAGAACGTTTGAGTATTAAAACACTGATGTGAGCAGTTGCACAGATTAAAATATTGCCTCATATTTAAACAGAAAAGGGGACACTTATAGGGGACAGTATCGCAGCTACTTCTACTTTCCCTGCAACACATATGTTCTCTTTATGCCATGATGTGAGAGTGTTTTGTTTGTTTTGCTCCGTGTTGAAGGCCTAACTGTGACTTTTAGATGAAGAACAACAATAAAAGCGCTGTTTTTTGCTTTTTGTGTGTGTTTTTTTTTTTTTTGCTCTATGTACAGATTTTGTTTCATGGATCATTGGTACCCCACATCATTGTTTTTTTATTAATGTTTTTTTTTTCCCCAATGTGCCTTATTTTTATAAGTTTTGTAGTATATATGAACTATCCTGTCCACACGACTGTCATTTTAAAATGTCTTTGTTTCATGTCAAGAGGTGTAAATATGTGATGTTAGCCGTTTCACCAGATTTCAAGAAATAATGTTCCTTTTTTAAAAGAAAGGAGGCACAATCACAGCTACTCCCCACTTTCACTGCAGCATACTTTTCTTTTATACAATATTGCCGGGATAAGATTATAGACATTAAAAGTAAAATTGCAGTCCAAAGCCAGACCAATTTAGATGAAGATATAAACTAAGTATGTATATCATAGTCTTATCATTGTATCTGTTGAGTGTTGCTTAATTTAAATGTGTTGTAAACAGAGTTTTGAAGACAAAAAGAATAATCCTGTCCACATGAAAACCATTCAAAGTGTAAAATCATTTTTGAGTAGTATCGACAGTTGTTTTATTGCAGACTAAATTTGTCAGATGAATTTGTAATCTAATTAAGTGTTAAAAAGTTTAAGTTTATCTCTATATAGTGAGCCGTCTCTTGGGAACCAAGGGCTTGACAGGGGTGGAGGGATTGCTCACTTTCATTTCCGAGATAAGAGTATTGACATGCAATAGAAATATTATACTATATTCAGAAGCAGCTAACATCGGACTCTGACTTCTTAAAAACTGATTTTTACTGTGCGTTTCGCCGTGTGTTTTTTTTTTTTTTTTTTATTCCATATTGGCTAGAAGTATAGGGGAGGGTTGAGATTTCACAAAACATGTTAAACCCGCCGCATTTTTGCACCTGTCCCAAGTCAGGAACCTCTGTCCTTTTTAGTCTTGTATGTTTCTTTTACTTTTGGTTCATTTATATGTTTCGGAGTTTAGAGTGACGTCCATTTTCGCTTAACTAGTATACATTATTTCTAAGGGGCCAGCTGAAGTATGCGCTGTGTTGAAGACCCATTGGTGACCTTCGGCTGTTTTATGCTTGTTTGTGTCGGGTTGTTGTCCCTTTAACACATTCCCCGTTTCCATTCACAATTTTATACAGTCTGTCATATATTTCCGAAAGAAAATGTTTCCTGTATTATTCGGAAAAGAGTTTTTTTATCAAACTAAATTTGCAAGCTACCTAAAATGAACAAGTGGCTTCTAAGAGCATGAATAGCTCACCTGCCAAAGATTAATCTTGCATTGCTGGTCATTTTAACGGTTTCTACCTATCTATTACAGTTTTCGAAAGAAAGTGTACGAAGTCTACGACTTGCTGAAGGAAATAAGATTACATTTGGGTTTCATTTATCTATTATAGATATTTATCATATAGTTGATTCAATCTTGATGTTCATTTTTGTGTTGAAATATGTAGTTTTATTCTATAATAACTATTCTTCTTAAGGCTTTGCATTTAATAGTAAAATCTTGTATTTTCTAGATAAGAGTAAATACGTTTCCGTTTAGATTAAGAGTAATACGCTGCAGTTGTCTCCCTTTCCATTCATTTTACATTTTTGATGAATTTTCACTTTACAAATAAGAATTAATTAAATTTGTATGAATTTTCCTTCAAGTATTATAATACTACATATCCAGAAATATTTATTACTTTACTATAAATCCTGTCAAAACATCTACTATAAAATATTTTGCTTATTGTTGAAAATTATTTTAGAAATGTTCTGTGTTCTGGTTAAGGGTAATAGGATAAAGGTAAATTTACGGGTAAAGGAAAGTTCATGGATAAGTGTATGACATACATCCATGCCGAAAAATGGTTATGAACTATTAAATGTAATTGGCAATCAATTCATCAGCTTACTCAGTTGCGAAAGGACTGTAAATAAAGGCAACAGTAGTATACCGCTGTTCAATAGTCATAAATCGATTGAGAGAAAACAAATCCGGGTTACAACCTAAAACCGATGGAAACACATCAACTATAAGAGGAAAACAACGATACAACAGAAACACGGACGTGCATCAAAAACAAACGCCAACATACAAAGAAAAGAAATATTTGATAACAACTGCCATATTCCTGACTTGGTACAGGTCATTTTAAGAAAAAATGGTGGGTTGAACCTGGTTTTATGGCTAGCCAAAACTCCCGCTTATATGGCAATGTTAAAAAATATCGCTAAAATGACAGCACTACGTGACAGAAATATAGCACAAAAAAACGCAAGAACTCTCAGCACAGAGAAACGCACAAATAAATAATAGTCGTTACAACATGTAAACATATTTATATTTATTTTTTTTTTAAAGTTTAAGTTCAATCAGCAAATACTCCTAAAGAAAACCAGTGAAACTGCTTCAAGTAAAATACTATCATTGGCAGAAATTAAAGATAATTCTTAGTATTGAATTGAGAAAAGTTGTCAATTTTTTGTTATTGAATCTTCACTATTTTCTACATAGTAATATTCATAATTTATCTTTTAAATTGAAAAAGATATCAACTTTAATTCAATTTGAACACTTTTCAAATCTCTGTTTTCAGAATAAACTTTTTCAAAATAATACAAAAACAATAATATACACACAGTATTATCACTGCCATCATATTCCTTCTCAATTAATTTATCAATAAGTAACAGATCGTTCTTTTGCTTCAAGTTGTCAATTTGTTCCTCCAACACCCTCTTACTTTGATTGAATTCACAAAAACCAAATTTTGAACAATTTATTTGTGAAAATTTACAAAAAATGTTAGATTGAATCAACTGATTAAATAATAATGTTTGGCCGAGGTAATAGCTGGCAAAATGTTCTGCTATCAAATGTTCATACACGTGTTAAATTCACCTCATGTGATTGGTTATTTAACTGATGATTGATAGGAGACCAGAAAGGTGTTTAACACATTAAACCTTCGTATCTTAGCCAATTATAGCTAATTTACTGAATATTTTATTCTATTTTCTTTTTATGTAATCTATACTTATCATTTATGTATGCAGTCAATCATCATCATCGTCAATATCATTTCGCTATTAGTTGTGCTATCAAAATCATTAGTATCGTTACATTACGATTTTCATTAATGCTGTTATCATTATTATTAGTATCATTTTATTTTTAATTCGCTTTAATTATTATTATTATCTCTTTATTATTATTATTATTATTATTATTATTATTATTATTATTATTATTATTATTCAATGGCTTACACTAATGTATTTTATTGTTAAAGGAATCATAACAATAACTGTGTTTTACTAAAGCGACCTGTAAAGAAGACACTATGAAGAATCTGATGTTGATCGTTTTGATACTGTTCATAACTATAGGTAATATTTCTGATAATCTCCTTGATCAAGTCCGTCGTTTTTATGTATATCCACATCGAAATGCACAACACGAGGTTGTACGCGATGTCTTCCTCGCTATGCAAAACTTTGATCACACCGTACAGTTTATGACCAATCAAATCTTTTTTTTATTCATTTCAAACAGGGGAAATATGTAAAGCAAGTTAAAAGCAGAAGAACGGAAGGATAGAGCATGTTCATGCAATTTCCTCAACAAATCTGTTCATTCGATTTAATGTGTTTTTTAGGACTTGTCTTTAAAAATATGATCATTTGCTCATCTATAGGATAGTTTTGTGAAAGCCATTACTTTAAAAAAAAATCCAACAAACATACATTTTTGAAATACTAAGGCTTTTCTACTTCAGGAATAGATTACCTAAGCTGTATTTGACAAAACTTTAAGGAATTTTTGGTCCTCAATGCTCTTCATCTTCGTACTTTATTTGGCCTTTTTAACTCATTTCATTCGAGCGTCACTGATGAGTCTTTTAAAGACGAAACGCGCGTCTGGCGCAAATACAAAATTTCAATCCTGGTATCTATGATGAGTTTATTTTAATAAACGGGATGGTGAATGAAGGCACATAAAACAAAAAGCTGGACAAAGGCACGTCAGGTTTTCTTGAATCGGAGTTAATCTTAAACGCTCGCTTTTATCACCCAACGAACGACTGGAAAACAACAGTCAAATTCATGACTTGGAACACTCGGTTTCCGCAAAAATAGTTGGTTAGACCTAGTTCTAAAGCTGGCTAAAACCTCCTTTTTGAATGGCAGATTCATGCCTCCACACTAAATCTCTATGTTTGAAATAAAATTCAATAAAGTTGAAACCAAGTAATGATATTTCTATACTTTCTGTAACTTTTCTATTTTAACTTTATTATAACGTATTATTACAGGAATAATATACACCCTCTAAAATAGCAATCAACGGTATGACTTTTCGGATTGTTTAGGTGGGATAAAGTGCCTTGCCTACCTAACATATTTTCGACAAAGCAACGAGCCAAGATGGAGTTTTGGCAATAATGTTGGTGTGAGACAGGCGTAGAAAAAATAAAACAATATGAACAATTTGGTAGTTAACTTCCCAATAGATCACTTAAAACGCCATCTAGCGGAACATTTGTCATTGTGGACCGATATGATTTGCCGATTCTTTCTAGTAACGGTAAACACACATATATCATTTACAGTCTTTTATGAGGGTTTTTTTTACATTTACGAAGGTCAAAGCGAAATCCTCAATTACAGAAATAAAAACAAAAACTGTCATTTTTTCAGAAATTTGTTATGGTTGCATTGTTTTCGTTTTAGATATTGTGTATTCTAGACATGAATGTGCGTGTTTGGCGGTTTGGGATCCAGTTTGCTCCACAACTAATGAGACTCACAGTAATTATGGTTGCCTAAGTTGCGCGTAAGTTTTCTTTACAAAACTGAAAATGCTCATTCTTTATCTTTATTATAAAATAAGTATTTACTCAAACCCCGCGGTTAGAGTTGACGTATATTATAATGCATGCTGGGGATAATTGAATGCTAAATACAGAAATGCGTCTTTTCTTCACAAGTTATTACTGACAACTTGAACATTTATGTTTTGGTTAGCATATTTTTCTTACAATTCTGAAGTAATATACATATATATCTATATTTAGACTGCAATGTTGATTGTGTGTTGGATGGATTTAGTTAAGATCATAGAATCTGGTTGTCAACAAAATACCTCCTTGGCATCATATGCATGTTATTATGTAATCTTACAAGCTGAATCCTAGTAATAACTGAATATTAGTGACATGCCTATTAATTAATGTTCCCTGTTGAAGAAGGCGGTCTCGCTCATGTGAATCCCTTAGCTGTTCGTTGTTACCTTGATCTGTATCTTCCTAAATTACATTTATGAGATCTGAACATTGCGTGGTAAATTATTGTTGCTAAAAAATTGTTGTTTAGCCAAAATTGTTTGCGTATTAAAAAAAAACCAAAACGTTAGCAAATGTTTTATGAATAAAAGAATTTCCAAAAAGTTTATGTATTTTGCCATATTTTGTTTGCAATAAAGTTTTGAAAGTGGCATTATATAATCAATTATTCTATTTTTTTACTTACAATCACTTATAAAGTGCATCAGTAAAAATAATACATTATAACCAAATAAAATCAGTAGATTCCAAACCTATACTATAACTCTGGTATTGAGTAATATCGTTAATCATACTACAAATTTAATACTATCCCGAATCCTATTACAAATCTTGATATCCCAATTCCTATTAGTAGAACTACTTTGAATTAATAAGATTATGAATCTTACTGAATTCCAATTTGTACTGTAACATAGAACAAAACAAACAGTTCAAAATAACAACAAAAAAAGCATATGTAAATATTGGCAAATGGAAATGAGACAATATTGATGAGGCGAACAGAATTAATTTCTCAAAGAATTGGTGAAAAGACTCACTGTCCAGGTATGGTGACATGTCTTTCTATTGAATATTTCCTTGTCACTAGCGTGTTAAAAATCCGGCTTAACGTTTCAGTCTAGTACAATAAATTCATCATAGATACCAGAATTACAATTTTATACGCCAAATGAGTGTTTCATCTACAAAAGACTTATCAGTGACGCTCGAATCAAGAAAGTTTAAAAGGTCCCATAAAGTACGAATTATAAAGCAGGGTTTATAATCAAATCACATGACTATGTTCTCATCATGAATGTGTATATAATTTACCGCTGGACATTTAACAGTCATCATTATCATTATCATTTTTCTTTGATGTCTGTGTGCAAAAGTGTAAATTTTAACGATCATATCGATCAAGGTCTAAGTGTTTATCATTAAGCAGGTGCATCAGTGCTAATCCATTTGGTCATTTCTTGCCGATTGTTGCACCCAAAAAAATTTCAGAACCATTATCTCACTATTTGAACGCTCACTTTCGCAACTGGTCACTATCCTGCAGACGATTTTAAGATTGACAAAGATGTTTGGATGGTCAAACTTGATAATATAATAAAAAATTATTGAGTGTCAGTTGTTTACAGGTATAAAACAAGCAAAGCAATATACTATGCTTGTGCATTCAATACACTGTTTATAAATTCAACTAAAATACATATGGTACCAGATATATCGCAGAGTTCATTCCAAGCTGGCTTACTTTCTCTCTCTTTACCATTGTTACATGTTTCATATCACACAAAAATTCTTAAACCTATTGAAAGTCCGGCAGTAGTCACTTATTTAAAAAAAAAAAAATCAAAACAACTACTGAGTATAAAAACAGTGCGTAATAACATCATTTTCTCAGTATTATTTCAATTTAACGTATAATATATAATCTGAGTTGTTCGAGAAAGGATTTGTCACAGAACATTATTAAAAGCCAAATGTGTAACTATTTTAAAAAAATCATCAGAATTTGTTTCAAAACATTTTTAAAGACTGTTAGGCAAGAAAGAATAGTTTTCATAAAACTAGTCCATGACAGATGTCGAACAGTTAAAACTACTATAATTTTTATTTCAGCCATCAAGTTTATGCTTGCGATGGTGCATGTCCATGTGTGAAAGTAAGTACGAATGTGCCAGTTTTAAGTTTTAAGTTTTAAGAATTGTAGTGAAGGATATGTTGACATACATATGTAAGGAACCCAACCAATTGTGTTCAATGGGTACCCTAAGTTCTTAATTACAGGGGATTATAATCAAACACAAATACAAAACAACGAAAAGAAAAGTTCTCCGAACAGCGCACACTCAAATCTATTTGTTTGTCCAATGTGAACTTTCCTAAAAACTGGAAGTGATAAATCTAAATTTTCAAATGTATGGTAAACCATCTTTTGCACAATTTGAAATACGAATATCATCCAGAAATTCTTCAGGGGATGGATCACTACAACGAACTTTCAGACCAATTTTTTTTTTTAAATTAAGGTCATTAAGGTAATTACCAAAAAAATGGTAATATAAGGTTTACAGAATTGATTTCAATTTAATTTTTTTCAACGCCTCCAAAGTTTGGTATCGTGCTCGCCCCTAGTACGGAAGTGCGTGGAATCGAATACCGGCGGATGAAACCAAAGACTTGAAAATTGCTATTTGCTGCTTCTCCGTTATAATAAAACACTAATGAAAAACAACGAACGCACGAGAAGAAAAATTCTCCGAACAGTGCACACTCAAACCTAATGCTTTGTCCAATGTGAACTTTCCTAAAAAAAATGGAAGTGATAAATTTTCAAATGTATGATAAGCCATTATTTGCACAATTTGAAATATGAATATCACGCAGTTATAAAAAAATATAATTGTAGTATTCTCCAATTTCAAGATATGATTTATTCTGTCAGATTTCCCGAATTACGTATATTTTCCTTTGTGTAATATTGCAATAATCAAAAATATAACTGAAAAACTTAAAGATATCGTCTAATTTCAATGTCTGGTCATTAATATTTAGAGATGAACGTCAGCTCTACCGAAAAAGAAAATTTGACACAAGATGTCCCAAACAAAGATATCGATGTTCTTCTTTAAAAAGGTTGCTGGGTTGCTGCTTTTTAAACCGCCACTTTGTTTAAGCAGGTGTTATATAGTGATGGTTGTGTCCGTTCGTCCTTTCGTTCCGCTACTGTTTTGAACCGTTTGGCAGAAATCTTGAAATTATCACAGAATTTTATTCACATGATGTACTTTTACACTCCGTATGCAACGTCTTCATTCTAACAGTCTTTGGGGTTTACTTTACCATGACAAGGACTGCGTCATATTTACAAACAGCAATTATACATACGTAGCCTATTTTTCTGTATGGAGACAGGAAGCAATATGTATTTAGTTAGGCTGATCAGCATTTAATAAAATATTCGCAATATCTCACCCTATAGGTTGCACTTTGTAAATACAGCTGTTTCACAAACCACGCCTCTTTTGGGAAGATATATAATATTCATAGATATTTTGGTTTGTTTACATACTTGTTCCCAGATATGATCTCTATGTTTCATCTCATAGAGACATAACTTGGGAATGTTACTAGTATAAAAACAAATGGTTGCGGTGAATATTGAATTCTGAAGTAGGTCCAAAGTGAAGGTATGGGTAGTACAGAATTTTAGTATAAGTTTAAACTCTAACAACTTCGGGGCATATAAATGTTGAAAATATGCCGCACAGCCCTATATTTTGACCTTTGAATAAAATAGTAGTGCATATCAACATTCCATTCAAGGATATAATTTTTTATGAAGCTTCATAGTAAAAGTGGCACAGTTTTAGCCGCAAAGGGAGCTCCTACGGGAAATTGCATTGTCTATTTTTACAGAAATGCAACCTTTATTGGCATTGTCCATCTATTTTATTTCTGATCGAATTATGATCGGGAAGTTTCCCTTAACAAGTAATTATATAACGGTCCTTGCAAGACAAAAGGTATAAGTTTGGAATCTTTGCTCACAGTTACTCGAATATCAAACACTCGAAAGCTGTAAAATTATCACTTTTGTTAAATGCATAATTAGTGCTAAAAGTAAATATACTCATTCGTCAATAAAATTTACATAATTTGAAAGATTCAGGAACAAAATATAGTTCTTATCAGCCGTTTCCTATTGACATAGTAATATACAATACATGTCAAGCAAACTAATACAATAACATTCTCACCTTGATTTTTTTTTAATGGAATACAAAATATTAAAGTATTCGAATTTGATGAAATTGATATATTATAGATTCATTGCGGTTTTTTTTTCGGACAAAAAACCAAACGTTCTGAAGGCAATTTATTATGAATGGGTGGAAACATTACCGACTGTGAAGATCAATTAAAACAATAATATTTTGTTAAAATAATGTATATGGTAATGAGTGAGAATTTGTAACAGTGCCGTGTCCTCTTGAAACAAATGGTTGGTGTGGATTGATTGATTGGTGTTTAACATCATTTTCAGCACTATTGCACTATTTCGTAGTGGTCAGTTTTCATGGTGGAGGAAGCCGGAATTCCAGAAAAGAACCACCGACTTTCAGAACGAAAACTGACAATCCTAGTCAATTAAGATTGGAGTTGGGCGCACCTGTCAAATGCGGGATGCGTACTCAAAACCTCAGTGTTGACAGGCTAGTGCTCCAGTAGTTTGACTCAGTCCAATTGCAATTGGCCATCCAGACCCTGGTGTGGATTGATGTCTAAGTACGGAAAAAGCAATCAACCATGGTGCGCCAAGTTGAAAGAATTTGAAGTTCTATGTATGTTTAAGAACCTTTTTATCAGATGCAACAAGACTTAAAAACATTGGGCTGTATCAGTTGTTTTGTTTTAAGTTTTTTGTTGTTGGTTCTTATTTCTTCCTATTTTTTTCATGATTTTATTTTATTTTAAGCAACAGTTATTCAGTCGTCCAATCGACACTTATAAATTGCTCAATGTTATTTCCTTAAAACTAATTTATTTTACATTTTTATTTCAGAACTGAGTAAGATGGAATAAAATATTTTAAATATATATATTAAAATATTCAAAGAAAAAAAACATTTTCACATTATGATTTAGCCAAGGCTATCATTGTTGGATATTAATGTTAGAAAAATTATCATTAACGTACAACATTGTTAATAAAACCATTCCATAAAACATTATACAAAATACAAAATATTGATCAACACGAAAACGAAAGGCGAAGATACCAGAGAGATATTCAAATTCATAAGTCGGAAACTGTCATTGTCATAGCAAAAAAAGTGAAAACGACAACACGACAAACAGTACACAACACACAACATAGAAAACTAAAGGCAGAGCATAATGAACCCAATAAAAACTTGGGATAACCTAATTGCTCCAGAAGGGTAAGCAGATCTTGCTTCACAGGAGGCACCAGTTGTGTTGCTTATGTAAATGCAAACCCGGTGGTAAGTCGAATTCGGTATGTCACATTCGGGTAAAGACGAAGAGATTGTCGTTACGACAATTGGAACATATCTGTCATGACAATATGATGTTAAAACTAATTTTACCACAAAAGATGAATATGATTACGTCAAAAAAAAATAAAGCTGACACATTGTGATATATCTTATCAAAAACCAACAAGGGTTACTAAAGCAAAATCAACACGAGCCCCATAAATATAACACTACAGGTGCACCCATATGCTCCGGAAAGGCAAATATATCCTCTTTCACTTGGACATGGAAACTAAAAATCCGGTAATATTTCGCATTTCGTAAACAAGGAAAGGATAAATGTGTGGCTACCTAGATATCTGCGGTCATCTGTGACATGGATGTTCCATAACGGGTAACTGAATAACGATGACATGAAATTCACTAAGTTACATCGCTGTTCATAAATATCTTTCATCTGGCATAAATGGTCAACGAAAGGCAATAACTCCAATAGGTAAGAGTCAACAGAAGATCCAAAAATGAGGAAATTACATGAACTCTAAACAAAGCAACACCACTTACGCTCGATAAGGCAAGCGTTTCCTGCTATGCAGCCTCACCAGCCATGTTATTTTAGGATTTAAGACAAGGACATTATTAGTTGCAGTTAAAACTTCTGTAATGTCAATTTCAACCGTTCTTCCTCAAAACATGTAGGAGGATTACTTTGTGTCAGCACATCCATGTTGATAAGGTCCGTATAATATAAACTTGCACGTTCGTATTGTATGAACTAAGATACGAGAACATCATACGATGGGCAGAGGTAATGTTGCTACTGAGAAATATGAAGTTGTTAATAGGAAAACTGAAATTGTCACATTTTGTCTCAGACACTAATTTGAAGTCGGCCATATGGGTGAATTTCAAGGAAGATATCCAAATACGAAGCAAACCTTCTATTTTCCGTAATGTGTTGAAATGATGGGTGTTACATGTGGAATAGGATTTGTTAACCCTCCCAGAGCACCTGAAATTACACAGGTTTTGGTGGGGTTCGTGTTGCTCAATCTTTAGTGTTCTGTGTTGTGTTTTGTGTATTGTTGTTTGTCTTTTTGTCTTATTTCGGTTTTTTTTCGACTTATGAGTTTGAATATCGCTTTGGTATCTCCCACCTCTCTTTTATTGAGCGATATGTGTTATAAACATACTGCAAGTTGACATTACAAAAACTTTGCAAGATGCTTAGCAGTCGTCTGATAGTTTCAGTTATATTCGCATTTATGAACATCATGTTTTGGTGAAGATTGTTCAGGCTTATTAAGAAACTAATATATAACAACTATGTTTAAATCTGTTAGCTTGAATTATGAAGAGTAAACTTATGTTTTCATCATTTTCGAAGATCCTGTTTTACAATTTTGATTGTAGATAATAGTTTCTGTCAATCTATTTATATATTGTTTTCCAAAACCGATAGAAATAAACTGTTGACCAAGATATATGTCTCGCCTGTCCGCAAAAAATTCAGAAAAAGACAATCTGATGGACAGCAACATTGCCTATTAATTCCAAGTTGCTGGACCATTATCTTGTGGGCAGGGCCTGGAAATGGTCGACAAACTGAGATGTACTGACAGTAATGAAACTTTATTCAAAATAACATTGATATATCACAAGTAGTTCCTATCAAACTAACTCAAGCAGAAAACTTAACATTGAAACTTGCTTATTAATTCAAAGTCACTGGACCATGACTTAGAGGACAGGGCCTCAAACTAGTCGTTAAACTGATATGAACTGATAGTAATGCAACTTCATATTAAATATCAATGATTTATCACAAGTAGTTTCTTTCAAACTAAATTAAGCAGAAAAGTTAACATTGAAAATTTATTATTAATTCAAAGTCACTGGACCATGGCTGTACCAAGTCAGGAATATGACAGTTGTTATCCATTCGTTTGATGTGTTTGGGCTTTAGATTTTGCCATTTGATTAGGGACTTTTCGTTTTGAATTTTCCTCGGAGTTTGGTATTTTCTGTGATTTTACTACTCACTGGACCATGACTTAGGGGCAGGGCCTCAAAGTAATCGTCAAACTGATGTGTACTGATAATAATGCAACTAGTACGGTGACAAGTAAGGTAAATTAAAAAATTTGATGGACCTAAATACCTCACGGCTAATTTTGGTGTTATTTGAAGGATAAATATAATACTCTTTGATTAAGGCATGTCGTAGAGCGCTAAAGTGGTGCAGATTTTTCAAAATTGTGGTCAAAGGTCATAAGGGGGGATTTTAAAAAATCACAATTTTTTGACATTTTGGACAATTTCTCGGTAGTCCCTCAAGATAACTGAGAATTTTTTTCTATGGATGCATGCTATAGAAATGCTCCACGAATTCCGTTATTCATATTTATGCCTGATTGCCAGAGATTAGTGATGTATACCCTCGCTTCCAACATGTAAGAAAATGAAAAAAAATATCTTTATCTACGGAAATTATCGACAAAAATATTCATATTTAATATTTAGCTATGCAATAATATATGACAACATATAAAGATATTTTTGGGAAAGTTTTGTTAAAACGACATAAAGAACAGAGGAGAAATAAGTACTGTAAAGTTAACACCCGGTCCATGATTTAATGAAAAAATGATGAAATTATTTACTGATTATTTGAACCCAAAAGAATGTTGGAACTAACAAAAATAGTCTTCATGCATAACACACAAAACTACTGAACATCAGGTTCCTGACTTAGGACAGGTGCAAACAAATAGTAATAGGCGCCACCCTTTACCCTTACCTGAAACAATAGTGTAACATCACAACATAGAAAGATACACTATAAAATATTAATTGAAATGGCTTAGCTCTATCAAAAGATATATTAACAAAAACAAGTGATCATCTTCAATACTAGAATACCTAGATGACTGATAATATTTGTGAGTTTCAAGACTTGTGATCAGGGCGCTTCTACGTATATATATATTACTGCAAAGAAATAGGAAGTTGACAATTGGAAAGTTACAATCATCTCATCAGTACTAGATTATACTTTAAAGTATTCATTCTGTGTCAATAGCGAGGACAAGATCAAGTTATAAAGCAGACCTTTTAGTTTTGGAAACATCCTAAACATTAAGTTCTCTCAAAACACTGGCAGGTAAATAGCACTTCTAAAAAGCAGGATACCAAGGGGCACCTGAAACAATAAGTCGAAGAAAGACGTACAATATTGTTTTTAGACAAACAACATTCCATAAAACACAAAGCAAAATACTAAATATTGAGCAACACGAAAAAAAGAGGCGAAAGATACAAGAGAGAAATTCAAACTCATAATTCGAAAACAAACTGACAATGCCATGGCATAAAAAGGTAACACCACCGAACGACAATCAACAGTACAAAACACACAAAATAGAAAACTAAAGACTGAGCAACAAGAATTCTACTTTGTTAGTGCTTTGTTGACTGCCGTTCGTCTTTTTCCTGTTGGTCACGATATTTTCTAGACTCATTGTTTTGATTCCCTTCTTGATATAAACTTACTTTTCTATTGCCAGAAGTATGCTAATTATGACCAAACATGTCCGCCGCATAATAAAGTGATATCAATAAAACAAATATAAAATAATATATAAGTAAAACGTAGAATACCAATGTCCAAATCTTATAAATCCCCCATTATTAAAAGTTCTTTCTTGTTCAGGAATATGAATAAATATATAACTTAATTTCGAAGGGATAGCAACTATTGTTTTCTCTTGTTTTGCTTTTGTTTTTATTCAGAATTGGTAAATGACATTCTAGTATAATAGATCTTCTCAAATCTCAATTTAGGATAATCAAAACATAGAGATTGAAATTAAGTAATCTGACACTTTTTTACTGCAATTGTTACCCCTTCAAGGTGGTTCATTTGATTTATGGTGTAATGAGATGTGAAATCATATTTAGTACTGCAAATCTTTCAGCCGTCAAACATAATATATAGTAATTTCTCATGTAGTAAAAGAAATGAGCAAGTATCTGGACAGGACATTTTGTAAAAATAAAATTGCAGAGAGGTACCTTTATTGAAAAATCAGTCTCCTGCAAACAGTTGCTGCAATTGTGGCAAATTTGCTGCAGACTTGCAGCAAAACTTTGAAGTGCATTTGCAGTGGCCTTCGAGAAAACCCAAGAATAATTTACATAGAATCTGTACTTGCTGCATTTTTGCTGCAAGTGTGCTGCAAATAAGTGTTTCCTGCATACCTGCAGCAAACATGTTTATGCAAATTAGTGTTTGCTGCAAACCTGCAGCAAACATCTTATATTCAAATTGGATTTTCTCCTGCGTGTTTACTGCAAACTGGCAGGAACTGCACAAATTACAAATAACAATGTCAAGTCTACACATTATATAAACCAAATTACACAGCAAATTCTGAAAAAGTTAGGTTACATACAAGCCTCCGTTAAAAATGCTTGATATTTTGCAAAAAAAACCTTATAAGATATATTATTTTTTTATTTGTTGATTGTCAAAAATATTATTAAATATTTAAAAATGCAAACGAAGGATTTATTTGAAATTCATTTTGTGCAAACAGCTAGCTAAGTTAGTTTCTTTTCAAAATTTAACATGACTTA